ATCCCCTGTGTTTGTGCAGGACTTCAATTCCCACACACCCCCGCGCCAGAGGAGGCGGAAGTCCGGCTAACTGTCGAGAGGAAGTCGCCCTCTGATTGGCTGGCTGAGATCTGTCTGTTTAGCTCAGGTTAACAGCAGGAAGACGCAGCTACTCCTTTTAACAGCTCCAGGTAAACACGATTTGTACTTTTCTTTTCAGGCTAAGTCTGTTAGGCTCAGCATTGTTTTTTCCTCCTCCTTCCCAGTAACTTGCTTTACTTTTGCAAGCGATATTGCATCGCCTAGGAAAGTCGCAATTGTGCACAGGGAAAAGGGGCTCGTTATCGGGTATAATCTCATCGCTGGCTACTTTATTTGGATTGATGTGCGCAAAATGCGTGGCTTGTGTTTTGCTATCGCTTACAGCGAGCTCCGCTGATGTGATTTCCACGGTCGGTTCGTGGGATGTATCCTGGGAAACCCGTCGTCGTTTCTTTTCGTCTGAAGTCGCGGTGCCTATCCCCTCTCGCCAGTGTTCATGCAGACGGATACAAATAATAATTCGTGTCAAAGAGAGAGCCAGCGAAACAAACAAACAAACAAACAATACAGAATATCGCAGCCATACAGGTGAAAAAACAAAGAAGAAATGAGCTGAAACTGCGAAGGGAAATAGTTTCTCCTCCTCACGGTGGCCGTGCTGGTGAAGTTCAGTTGGTTTAAATGTCCCGCCTCCACTGGCGGCTGGTGGCGCCATGACAACGCGTCTAGTGAGGCAGGACTGATCAGCATTTTGTTTTTATAGAGTTCAATGCTGTAACCTTCCCGCCCCGAAAGTTAATCCTTTAAGGCTTCCAGTAAAAACAACGTATTAACTCCCGTACGTGCGCTGTGAACTCCCAAAGAGCCCCCCTTCCCGTCAAAAAGAAACGTGCCTTCTGCTCTGGAACATCTCGGCGCAAAATGAGAGGGAAAAAAACACAACTAGTTTCGCATCTTGATAGGAACACCGACGTCTCGCAACCGGAAAAATAAAAGCGGAATTGCGGTCAATATGCCCGCTGTCCAGTACCGATGTTTAAAGAGAGATTATTTGGAGTGGGATCTGGGCGTTCTCCGATGAATGTGGTGGTAGTTCTTCCCACACAGTCGTGGCGTTTAAGCTTCATATTAATCACAGGTGATTGTGATTGAAAGTTTTGTTTCACACACATGCATAACGTAGGGTGGAAGATGGGGGGCATTTGAAGCTTCATCAGAAAGCAGAATATCTATAATAGATATACCTATATATCTCTAATAGATAGATGTTTATAATAGATATTCAGGTGGGGAGCTGCGTCAGCATGCGTAGGCTGCAAAGGAACAAGAAAGAAGTTTATTCCCTGCTGAAAAAAAGAAGAAGAAAGAGACACCTGAAGAAGGCTCCACGGCCGAAACGTTGCGTTTTCTCTCTTCTTTTTTTCAGCAGGGAATAAACCTCTTACTTGTTCCTATAATAGATATACTTGATA